TTTATTTATTTATTTATTTATTTATTTATTTATTTATTGAGACAGGGTCTCCCTGCAGCCCCAGCTGGCCTGGAACTCACTATGTAGACCAGGCTGGCCTTGAACTCACAGAGATCTGCCGGTCTCTGCCTCCCAAGTACTGGGACTACAGGTGTGTGCCACCACGCCCGGCTAAAAAATATTTTTATGTGTATGTGTGTATTGCCTACATGTAGGTAAGTGCACCCATGTCGTGCAATGCTTTCAGAGGTCAGAAGAGGGTGTCCAATCCCCTGGAACTGGAGTTATGGATGGTTGTTAGTCACCATGTGGGTTCTCAGAATTGAACCTGGGTCCTCTGCAAAAGCAGTCAGTGCTCTTAACCTGTGAGCCTTTTCTCCAGCCCCACATGAAGGATTTAAAAAATGTACAGCTGTGGGCCTGGAAAGATGGCTCAGCAGTTAAGAACACTGGCTGTTCTTGCAGAAGACCCGGGTTTGAATCCCAATACCCACATGGCAGCTAACAACTGTCCGTAACTCCAGTTCCAGGGGATCCGACAGCCTCTTCTGTCCTCCTCAGGCATTGCATGACACGGATGCACTTACCTACATGCAGACAATACTCGCATACACATAAAAATTATTCTGGGGCTGGAGAGATGGCTCAGTGGTTAAGAACACTGGTGGCTCTTGCAGAAGACCTGGGTTCGAATCCCAGCACCCACATGGCAGCTAACAACTGTAATTCCAGTCCCAGGGGATCCGACAGCCTCTTCTGACCTCCATGGGCATTGCATGACCCGGGTGCAGTTACCTATACGCAGGCAATACATGCACAAAAAAAATAAAAATAAAAAATTAAAAAAATTATTTAAAAAAATGTACAGCTGTGTCTGGTGGTGTCAGCCTGTCTTCCCAGTTCTTGGGAGGCTGAGGCAGGAGGACAGAGAGTTGGGGGCCAGCCTGGGCTATAGAACATGATCTCCTCTCAGTAGAAGTATGTAACCCAGAATATTAAGCACATCTCAATATTGCACAGCCACATCAACTCCATGTAGCTCCAGG